TTTTGATGGCGCAGAATCAATGAAAAGTCATCGCCAATTTTATTCGGTATTAATTTATGAAAAGCCAGTTTCAATTGCCCAGTGTAACACTGCAGGCATTCTTCCGAACATGAGCCTCTTTCACAAGTAAACAGAAATGCTTTGCATTGATTGAAGAAATTTTGCGCAGTAGTATTATCAGTATTATTATTACTGTCTAGCTCTTTAAAACAAATGTTCATAATAGGCACCAATTTTTCATTACAAGGAATCCATGGATTAAAATAATTAAATTTGAGACATAGATCATTAAATTTTTCATTTACTGTTACCATCGTGTTTCTCCCTTGTTTTGTTGAGCGCATTTTGTTAGAGACTATCTAGAGCACGACTGTCGGAGTGCTATCCCACAAGAAGACACAGGAGTCATTCTATGGCAGGACTTACTCAGCCTGAATTAGCTTAGCTCCAGAAATAGTCCCTGAATTTAATCCATTTCCGGAGGTCCTATTGAGGAGCAGTCGATTTCCAGGAATGCGTATTTAAAGCAGTAAGATTTAATTTAATTACCTCTAAATGATTAAAATCAAGCTGAAAGTGGGGAGAAAATATTTTTGATCTATTGGATTAAGGTTTTTTTGGAGAATACTTACATAGTTACGAGCACAAGAAACTCCTTTCGGATAAAGATGGAAGGTATTGAAGAACCTTTACCATGCTAATTTTACAATTTAGAAGACGAGATTAAACAGTTTGTGTGAGCATGTGTTTTAAAAAGTGTTTCCCTTGCGGATAAGACCATGTCAAGAACTACAGACTCTTGCCAAGGTTAGAAACTTGTCTTTCTGCTCGAAATTTGAAGTCAGAAGTTGAAGATATATCCCACAAATCAAAAAGGAAGAAAACTCTACTAACGTCAAAGTTTCTCGGAGTTTAATGATGAATTAATATCTCATTATTTCCTGCATTTTCGTGTGTTGTGTTTCTCCTGTTTTATTACCTCGTAAAGGTTGCGCTCGGCTCACTCCCGGTTTTTGGCTCAGAAAGGCTTATCCCTACCGTAGAGACCACCTAACGACCTGCTATCGATTCCAGTTGATCAACCAAGCCTCTCTGAACAGAAAGAGTCTTTTGATTGAAACTGAAATTAATTATCAATGGCTTGGTGTCTCATCTGTGCTAAGTAGCTAAGCCCAGCAGTAGTGCTCCTCTCAGACCTGCTGGCTGAAAGTCGTCATTCTCAACTAATGAAGTTGGTTTCACTCGGTAGTATCTCTCAAACACATTTACGTATTAATCTTGGCCTTTATCCTGATTCTAAGGAATCATAACTTGCGAAAGAATGGGTGCATGCCCAAAGTACTTATTCACCTCATGTTATTATTTCACCTTGTTGGTGTTGTAAACCTAAAGCTAATGTGCAAAAGTATGGGTGCTTACCCAACTTGTTTTGCCTCATCTGTTAACCTTGCCTTGTTGGCATTTGAAAGTTTATCTGAAGCTAATCCGCAGAAGTATGAGCACTTGCTCGAAATACTTTTTGCTTTATCTAATGCCTTGTTGGCGTTTTATATATTAAAGACCTATCTGCTGAAGCATGGGTGCTTGCTCAGCGTACTATGTCTCTTCCATTCACTTTGCCTTGTTGGCGTTAGAATCTAAATCGGAAACTCATTTGCAAAAGCATGGGTTCTTACGCAAGATACTGTTTGTCTAATCTACACTTTGCCTTGTTGGCGGTTATTTTTAACTTTGAATTGCAATTCAGTTGCATACATTATCTCTACATCCAAATTCTCTGCTGTGCTGTTCGTAGCACATCGCGATTTTACAACTTGACGAATGCTAAATGAATATAATCATAATTCTTCTAGAAACTGCTTTGTGCAGTGTATGCTATCAATTAAAAGCTCAATGCATATTATGAAATGAAAAGCTATAGTAGGAGGAAGTGAACCTTCCAAGCAACTTGCTTAGTAATTTCATAAGTGTGTCCAACACTATTAATTAATGGGCTTTTGCCTGAACGATCTATTTTCCTGAACTTTGGATTTCCCTTAGTGGAATAAGTCGAAATTTTTGTTTTCTTTTATTTTTATTTTTTATCACCCTTTTTCTCCCTTATTTCGTTGGAGTTTATCTAGAGTGCAACGATCCCATTACCTGTTGGCGTAGCTGACACAGAGCTTACTTGATCATCGGCATGGAAACCTGGAAATTTTCCTGACCTGAACAATTCTTGAAGCCCATTGTGCATTCACCAGTATCCTGAAAAACCTGCTATATCAGTATGGAAAATATTAATGGTCTCGGAGGCAGTATAGAAGGAAATGGCTTTGTCTAGGAACTCCTTCAACATCACCAAGGAAGAAATTGTTGCTGTGACGATAGATAGACTGTATTCTAAAACGCCTGCACCAATACGAAAGATTATACATATGGCTCTTGAAGAATGCCGAAAGATTAAGTCTATGATTTGGATTGCCTGCAACGTACAAATGGAAAACAATTATTGGCATAAGAATTAACGTAATTGCGTTCTAGTCGATCAACCAGCTCAAAGATGGGTAAGAATTTATTAAATTAAGCAAATTCTCAATTTGTACATTACTTACCATCAACGATTAAAATGAATTTCTTAGTGAACCCCTAAGTGTGCAGCTCTGAAAATGTGTGGCATTTGTTAAATATTAATCATTTAGTCACCCTTGAATGCCTGAAATGCCTCTAAAAATAACAATGATTAGAGCGGTATGGAAAACACCATTAACTGATCATTATTTAATTGTAGATGTTGCAAAGGTCCGAAGCCCTACAATAATCTAGTAACTAACACTACTGAAAGTCAGTATCCCGCTCCTCCTTTTTTTTTTCATCATCATCTTACATATCTCGCTCCTCATATTTGTTATCATCTTTACAGGAAATTGTGTTCTCCGCGGGATAATGTGAACAGTTTTATCAATTTCAGTTCCAAAATCAACAGCCTGCACCATTGCGCCAGGAAAAATCTGTGGATATTTATTTGCGAATAATTAAAGGATTTTAAGGCTTGGACAGCAGATAACTATTGCACAAAGCTGAACTTTTCATTGATCTTGGTCATTTTTCCCCTTTTATGCAGTTCGTTTGCTAGCTTCAATCTGAAGTCAAAGACAATGGCATTAATTACCGCTGCCGTTTTATCTAAGGTCTAATACAGGTATCTGTAAATAATCTATTTTTTTTTTCTTGCCTGTGTGCTACTGAATATTTTGCTCTCATCATTAACGATAAACTTGTGATTTATCTTTGCTACCACCAAATCAATTACGATTGTTCAAAATTGTTGAATTTTCGTCTTATCGAAGTCTGACAACGTACAAATATTTTGTGGAGACTTTCTCTGAACATACATTAAGTTGTATGGCTGTCATTTTTAAAGTTATGTCAAAAGGAACCCTCAGTAATTATCATCACTGTTTCGAGGGCTTATCACAGACTTTCTTATACAATTCAAAATGAAGAATTCAGATAGCCAATGACAACGCTTTAAGGATTAATGTTAAACATGTTTCGCTTTGTGTCGTGTTTTTATCCTGTTTGTCGCCCAGCAAGGATTGTATGCCAAGTGATCATCGAACTCGGCTCCATGAGGTTTGTCCCCACCAAAGTATCCAATGCATATCCTACAAGTGATTACAATTGATCGACCAAGCCTTATTGATTGTAAAGCGGCATGATGCACAAATTTCTCCTGTCTAAACTTCGAAATACAGCGAACAATATCTCATTGGTCCCTTGCTGAGACTTAGCAAACAGGGTTCCTATCAACTTTCCGGCCGGTACTCCGCACCTCCAACGTATGAATTTTTTTAATTAATTTCATTGTATCATTTTAACAAATAACTCTCAATTCAAACTGCGTGCCCTCTTTTTTCTTTGTTTGGTTAATTTGCTTCCAGATGTAGGAGTTAACCAAAGCATATAACAAATGTATATTAATGCACTATTGTGAATTAAGCCATAACTCTCGCTAATTTTGTATGAAATTTTGATGTCTCACGAATTCTTGCAGCAATTGCACCTTGAACTCAAGGAATCTCTAAGGAGCTAAGACTCTTGTTAATTATATTCATAAATTTAATCCTAATCTATGTATAAACAATTTAATTTCATCCGCTTGATCTTTGTTCACTTCAGTGTGCAATATTGTAAATTAAGTACTTAAGTTATTCTGTATAATTGTTAATTCATGACATGTTTTTTCTGGTATGGTAATTTTAATTGACAGTTGATGATTTTAATGTTCGATAACGGCTACGTCAGCAATCTCACGTATCCAAACTTTGTGGCATTTTTATATCACTTGTAAAGCACACGAGATGTCCTGCATCCGATGGTTTTCAATGAACTGAACAGCTCGTTACTCAATTCTGTTTTCTCATTTATAAGTTGGTTCTCATCGGAACGTGAGTATATCTAATGTATCGAATCAGTATCCAGCAATCAACCAAAAGGCTCATTTTTTTTTGTCTATTATGGGGTGAAGACTCCTTTGATTATATTTTTTATTACATTATGTTTTAAGTTTGTCTAGAGGCATAAGGTATATTTTCAGCTAAAATGATGCGAGGTGTCGAAGAGAACAAATTTAATCATTTTAGTCATAGAAAATAACTTTCTCCATAGAAGTATGAAAACTGCAGCGAAATTAAATCTGTGGCACAAATTCTGGGATTTTCTTCTTGTTGCAAAACCAAGCAAGTTTCATGTGCCACTGGGAGGCTATCTCAGAATTTCTTGCTCACCCTAAACTTGAGAATCCTGCCTTTCAAACTTGGTGACCAGATTTGTCCCAGGTAGTACTTCTTCAGTGAATTATGAGAGAGAAATTTCTTGTTTTTGGTATAACAATGGATTTACAAGAGAAGAATTGTTGAACGAGATGCATAAGGATGAACAAAGAAATTAACTAAAACCAAATTATTTCAGCCCTCTGCTGAATTTAAATTAATTTTCTTTCTTTCTTTTTTTTGCAGGAAAATTCAACCAATGATTCCAGATCAAAATTATTTCGCGCTGAAAACGCAAGTCATCAAAGCTGAAAGACGAGTCTTGAAGGAGCTGGGATTTTGTGTTCATGTCAAACATCCTCACAAGGTATTGTATTTTTTTCTTGTCCACTAACCTTATTCCTCCAAGTAGTTTAATCGTATGTGATGAACCTTAGGTTTCCCCCTTTGAAACAGACAGAATTTTGAACATTTTCCAATCCCTTCAAGCATTTCTAGTTTTGCCAAAGAAGTTGAAATATTTCAACCACAGTAAGGTGAATATTCTAATGATTTTCTACTCATTTTGCCTCCAGCGTAATGCTTTGGCAACCTTGAACTGACATTTTAATACCCTACAACATGCACCCTAGCAGATTCCCGCCCCCATTTATACTGGTACATATGTACCAATATGTGTAAAAATTTTTTTTTTTTTTTTACTTCTACTAAAATTATCGACTATTTATTTTCTTTCTTATTTTTGAATAGTCTGAAACACGCAGTATCGCAGGCTCTGACTCCATTCTTGCTGGAGGATGTTGTAAATTTTCTTATATGTCGATAAAACACACTTAGAATCACCATTATCGTTCAGGAGATATTGTAGGCTATTAGCTAATTCATCTTATCAATAGAATTTTCCAGCCCTAAGGACAATTTTTCCATTTGCTCTACCAACAATGCAAATGACCTAACTTAATGTCAATCATTGATTGATTTAATAATTCTGAAATATTTTCTCTCCAGGGCTTCTAATAATGTGAAGTTTTATGATAGTTATTCTATTTTTCAGATTGTTGTCACTTACCTACAAACCCTAGGATTTGAAGAGAATAGGAAACTACTGCAAATGGCATGGTAAGAACTTTTCCCCTCTCTTTAAATGATGTTTTCTCAAACCCTTAGGGTTTTTTAGTTCTTTATGTACTCCTTGCCAATGTTTTGATCGCTCCCTCGAAGTCAGAAAAGTGTGTCAAAATGTTGCAAATTTTGCAATGCTTCAAACCACGCCAATTACCAGCAGCGCACTCAACATTGATAACTAATTTTTGTAGCCTGGAGCAACTGATAAAATTGGTCACTTTGACTGACTTGGCAGCGAATTCATGATTTTTTAAATTTCAGGAATATGAGTGCTTACATTTGAATTTATACATTGCTTCTGGATTATTATGTTTTTCAACTAGTTAGCCGGAGCCAAATTAGTTAAAGGATCCCAAAATATTTAGCTGCAGCTTTTGCTATTGCACAAGAAGCATCATGTGAACAAGCCAATCTTTCAGTTGGAAAATTACCTAACTAGGGGTTTTTACAATTTTTATTTTTATGCATAGAGAAACAATCCTTTTCTGGCTGTTGCGCAGTTTTTGTCTCTTGAAAAATTTTATTTTACATGATGGGTTGTTTTCAAACTGAGAGATTCGCTCATTACTCTTTACTATCATTATACTGCCTTAGCACTCAGCCAAAACACGCAGATTCATTGAAGTCGTATTTAGGTGTGGTTAAAAATAGCCACTTCAATTCAGTTTACCTATCCTCTAGGTGTCTAGTTTGACTTTTGGCGTGAGATTAAGTTTTTTTCTCCCTTTTTTTGCAGGAATTACATGAATGATGCCCTGCGGACAGATGTGTTTGTACGGTATCAACCTGAAACTGTGGCCTGTGCGTGCATTTACCTAACAGCACGGAAATGTAGGATACTATTGCCCAAGGAGCCTCCCTGGTTTATTCTATTTGGTGCTACAGAACCTGAAATCCACGAAATTTGTAAACAGATCCTACGCCTCTATACCCGATCCAAGGTGTGTTGAATGTTTTCTTCAAGTCTCAAATTAAGATCACTACCCGTTGTTTATTTCTTTCATGGAGTCGCCCTGAGTATTCCCTGATTAGCCTTAAATTTTGGTCTGGAAAGACGGTTGCATAAATTTTCCTGTATTTTTCTCGGGAGTTTAATGTAAAACTCTATCCTCAATTGTTTTTCGTTTTTTCTTTCTCCCTGCATACAAACAAATCAATTATTATAGCTCAAGTTGCTCAAGTAACGCTCCAAGATGTTTTAAGGTGACCTCTCCCTCCTTCAGAATTCAATTATTGTCTGGTGACATGTTTTTGCCCCGCATTTTGCATCATTTAAGCCCCTGCATAAAAGTAATATCGTTAGTTGGTCTCAGTTGACTTCAAGGCTCCCAACCAATGAGAAAACTCTAATAATGGATCGATTCATGCTGTAGTATGAGTCAGCTATTTGTGTATGTCATTATCTCGCAGGAATCTATTCCAGTTAAACACAGAGAAACAGAATTGAAATAATACCCCTGTCGAACCGGAGGCAATATCTTGCTAAGTGATTTCGCGCCATGAACAACATTGCCCTGTAGACTTGATTATTGAAGTCACACTGAGATAAAGACTTCCAAATTAAGTCACCCAATCATGGAAAAGCATCCATTGATATCTGTGGACCATGGCGGTGTCATATTTCATGCATTTTCATTGTGTTCTCCAGCAAGGTATAGTGTGGACTGGATTGATAAAAAAGTTGGTGGTGGCCAATTAGAGATTTGTATCTGCCACTAATTTATGAGTGTTTAAAAAGTAACCGCAACTGTCCATTTTTTTGTTCATTCCAAATACCTTCCCCTAAGAGTGGTTCAATATTTAAGTCCTCTGGCTGAAGTTAGTGTCCCTCTTTGCTGAATCTTATAGCAATTCGCTAAGAATGGGCATTCTACAGTGCTGTATCCAGTTATTAATCTCTGAAGACTGTCAAATCTTAATTTGTCGCCACCAACTGTTTTTTCTCCAAGTTCTGAAGTTTTTATTTTTCTTCTTTCTTGATACTATCAAAATTTTGAATCTGAAGCAGTCAATGACAATCGAAACATTATCACAAATTAAAGGATACAATTTTGCCACTGATACTTAGTCTTAGATATACTTTAAGATTCGGTAGCGATGCTTTGTTCCGATTACCAATCAAAATTTTCAATAGCACTTGTGTAAATTTTATAGCTCAGGGGATATACCTGCAGAAAGTTGAAAATAATGCAAGCCCTGAGTGAGTTCGGTAAGTTAGGAGGGTTATCTAACTGCTATCCATCCGTTAAGTGCGCACCGGCTTGAACGATGTTGTACAACGTCCAACTCCAATGCGCTTCAATGGTGGAACCTTAAGCCACAAGCAATTGTTGTTGTCCTAAGCTGAATCGCTTATTTGATGGGTCTGCGTGAAGGTAAGAATTTTAATTTACTCTATCAATTTGCCAAGTTCTTACACTTGCTGTGTAAAGAATCAAATGTCCAGTGCGCATTTATCATCTGGTAGGTCTCCTCTTTGAACCTGTGGATCACGAAGAGATAGAAGAAATACTTCTGTTTTTGATAGTCAACTTTTCCGAAACATACAGAGTTATGATAATGATAATTTATATCTCCAAACTAGGTGTAGCCTTGTCTAACCAGTCAAAAAGTAAAGATCTTCAGCTTAAAATCCAAGAGTTTTGAAGTCTAGTCTCTGAAGCTTCTCATTTTGGTTTATAAAAAGGGATTATTTATTTTGCGAACTTATTTTAAGCTCTAAAGAGTACCTTTTGCTGGACGTTTTCTTTTCGCTGAGTTACACATATTTGCTTTTTCTTCAAATCAATCAAACAGCACCTTAAGTTGAGCCAGCGAGAAATAAAATATAGTTGGGCAGTGAATAACTCAACGCGATAATTATAGGAAGTTAGACTGTCGAACCTAATTCCTAAGTGAGATGTAAAATATCGAGAGAAGTAAAGTCATACTAATTATCCTTATGCCCAGTCAAGCTAGCGTGCTTTACTTCCATACAGCAAAAGCCTCATTTTTAATGCACTCACTTCTGCTTGTTTTGTCAAAACTTGAATGCAGGAAGTGAAATATGTTAATTTTTTCAGTCAGATTGCCAGACAATATGCTATGTTTGATTTAGTATCTTGGATTTTTTTTTATTTTTACTAATTTTGTGAAAATTTACACTTCAGACTGTTTTTATTGTCGGTTAGGTAGTATGTCACATTCCAGAATCCCTACAGCAACATGCACATTGAGCCCAAACTGGTAATGATTGCCGTTGCTGATTAAAAGCGTGTGATCAGCCGAAAAATTTCATCCGTTGCGGAATCAAAGAAAATGTAACGGTTTCCATGACCAAAAAATAAATGGTGGAAAGGGAACTTGCTGAGTTGGGCCCCCAACGATCGTTAGACCAAGTATCTCTGTAATGCTTTGTGTATTGATTTTGCAGTTTTTTTATCATGATGAGCATTTTGATACAAGTGTAATACATATTTCTCTTTTATGGTGTATCGTAATTTCTACTTTGATTCCAATGGCCTGAAGTTGAAATCCAAGCTAGTTTTCAACCTCTCAAACTGTCCATTAAAGCATTCTGATCAACTTAATGAGTTGCCTGGTTTTCAGATTTGAATCTCAATTTTAGTGTTCAATGACTCATAAACTAGGAACTAGAAGCTAAAATTAGAAGCAAAAAAAATCAATGCGAGATTTGTTTTATACGTTTCATCAGTGGTAATTTTTTTGGCCTGCTCCAACGTGGTCTGTTCCTCAACTAGTCTAAATAGCCTAATAGTTCAAATCCAACACCCTATTAAGTTACGCTGATATGAAGTTTATTAACCTAGCCTTTGTAACAAGTTAAGTTCATCCTACATAAAAGTTGCTACTGCACTATCTTAACATACCCAAATGTTACCTAATTTCTGGTACAGAGAATCACGAAGCAAGATTTTCACTCTTTTAATGTGTGTCAGGTAGATTGTAAGTGTAAGTGGCAAAATTGTGTATTCCTTTTCTGAATGGGAGATTATTAATGAAAGTTTTTCCCAAGTCTTGACTGCTAGATAATTCAGAATTTTGATTTTATTGTCAGGCAGGTACATACAGTGTAAAATTGTTATACGTTCAATGTAAATTTTTTTCGTTTCAGCCAAACCAAGAAAAATTAGAAGCAGAAATTGAGCGGATAAAACTTGAACAACAAGCAGTCCAAGCCAGATTGAAGATTTTGGCGTCCGGCAACAACACACCAACTAGTCAAGCATCCCCTAATTGTAAAGAAAACTTTACCTCCCCTAGGTAAGAACTGAGCTCTAATTTTTTTTAATTGAGAAAATTAATCAGATTATGAATAATTCCTATTTTCATGCCAGAAGTATAAAAATCAGCTAGTAATCCATCATGTATCTCATTTTGAAGACGTATCCAGTCCCTGAGAAGTTCAGGTTCATAGATTCTTTTCACAAGTGATGAACACACTTTCAGTGTTGATAGCACCTCTTCAAGAATATTTTTTCTCCTTTTTATTAAATCTAACAAAATAGTCCTCAAAAGAGGCAGGTGAAAGGAAACATTTTAGGATTTTTCCGTCTGGAGTTCAACTTCAGAAAAGTTTTAAAGATACCTTTTGACAATGAAAAATTTCTAAAACTTTCGTTACATTCTCGCTCCCCTTGCAGGTAGAGGAAGTATTGCTGTTCCTTAAAAAAAAAAATATCGAATTTCCTTCATCTCTAGGTTTTCAAGTGCAAGGAGTCGATATCATACAGGGTTGCCAGCGACTGGGAAAAGTCAGGGGAAAAAAATCAACCGGGGAAAGTCAGGGAATTTAGGTGTTGGTCAGGGATTTTTCTGATTTTTTTGGAATTAGGCACGGGCGGTCTTGGGCCCGCGTTGCGGGATCAACTGGATCAATTTCACTTTAACAGACTGCGTCAGATCCATACTTAAAAGTCAGGGAAAAGTCAGGGAATGGAACAAAATAATTTCGCTGGCAACCCTGATCATGATACTTGTTTGTACTGTTGGTTCTAATCGGAATCTTTCCCGTGTGTTTACAGCCGTAATAACCATTCGTCGAAACACCGTAGCAGAAGTAAAAGCCACAACCGGAGCAGGAGTAGAAGTCGAAGCAGAAGCAGGAGTCAAAGTAGGAGTCGCAGCTACGACCACAGCCGGAGCCGGAGTAGAAGCCGAAGTCGGAGCCGGGACAGGAGGGACAGAGACCGGGATCGCGAGCGGGAGCGAGAGCGTGAACGTGATCGAGATCGCGAGCGCGAACGCGAGCGTGAACGTGACAGGGACCGTGGACGCGATCGAGACCGTGATAGGGATTACGATTGCGAGAGGGATCGTGATCGCGAACGTGAGCGGGATAGAGACCGCGAGCGTGACCGCGATAAGAGTAGATCCAAGAAAAAGAGTAAGTACATCCACCGGTAATAATTGCTCAAAACGCCAATTTGTATTTCGATTTGATCCGAATCGTGTCGGGCCTAAGGCAGTGCTGATCCTAGTAATTGTGAAAAACTACTGATGACTTGAAAAATCCGTGTAATGAGAGCGTGAACGAGATCGCGAACGTGAACGTGAGCGTGACAGGGACCGTGGACGCGATCGAGACCGTGATAGGGATTACGATCGCGAGAGGGATCGTGACCGGGAACGTGAGCGGGATAGAGACCGCGAGCGTGACCGGGATAAGAGGAGATCCAAGAAAAAGAGCAAGTACATCCACCGGTAATAATTGCTCAAAACGCCAATTTGTATTTCGATTTGATCCGAATCGTGTCGGGCCGAAGGCAGTGCTGATCCTAATAATTGTGAAAAACCACTGATGACTTGAAAATTCTGTGTAATGAGAGATGGTGTTCTTCAGTGTTTGAGCGAGTGGAATTGAGTCCAAGCTCGCTGGTGCTTTTTTCAAAATTGATGCAATCGTATAATAAGTGTCAACTAGGAGGATAGTCGGAGTGTCTTAAATTTGCCAGATAATTTCATGTCAGTTATTGTATTGTTCACATGCCGTGTTTTAACCTGGCATGACTGCATACCCGAGGAGTCTGCTAGTCTGTCAAGGAATGTGGGAGATGTCGGATTTTGCCTCTCTCGCATGAACTTGGTGGACGGGATTCAGACTCGGAGGATTGTAGGTAGAACAAACTCATCTCGATAACCTCTTGTGGGATTACACATACTATAATAAACAAAGCCACTTTTCCTCCGTTAGCAACCAATGAACCAAATTGAGTTAAATCTAATTAAATTTTTCTTTTATGCCGTTTTTATTTCATCTGCTTTTTTCATTCATTTGTCTTTAAAAATTCACCACCAATTTATCGTACTCGTTTGTGCGTACTCACTACAGTTTTCAAGTCATCAAGTTTTTATTTGGATTTTTCTGATCCAGGAGAAGGAAAACCAATTTAACTGAATCAAAGTTACTGTCATTAATTGTATATTTCCTACTTGTACCTGATAGAAATGTGTATTTGAAAACGTTTTCTCTCTCAAGATCTGAGACGTTACTTATATTTTTTTCTTAGCTTTGTATACTACGTTCAAGATGAGGTGGTCTCAAAGTCATCATGTAATCGTAGTAGAAATCCGTAATTTGTGTTTTTGATAGCATTGCAAGTGATAATCTAAATCTGTAGAAGAATGAACTTAATGGAAGTTGCACTCTTGAATCGTTGTTTTCTTTTGAAGGATCTCAAAATAGTGTTTTTTGCAGCTGTAGGTATTCCTCTGCCTATGTTGTATTCTAGAGGAGAAGACAATTTCCGAATCGTGATCATGCATTTATTTTGTGAAGTCCTAAAATATTGAACTCTTTATGTTTTGTAGATTTATGCTCTTCAAAAATTCAAAGAGAGTAAAAAACTATTATCACAGGAAAATGTCCTAGATGTTTCCAAAAAATAAAAAAATTTAAAGAAATACGTTTATGATGAAGTGAATTTAAATTAAATTAAAGCCTCTGGTTGCACCTAAGTGATGTTCTCATGATATAATGTAATTGTGTTGCCGAAGAATCATGGGAGGATTGAATTTTGTGTTTTAAATTCAAGTGCACTAAAATGTAGCAGTAATTGCCGAACACTATATCTCTCAAAGTCTAAATTGTTTTGTGCAGGGTTATTTGTAATTGAGTGCAAATAATTTTTGATAGATAATTCGCGTAATTTCAAATCATTGTAAAATTGGACTGAATGCAGCAGCATGGAAGCAAATCTTACCCACTGTAGTTCATACTCCATTATGAATCACTGGCAAATACATAGTTAAACTGAGACCATTTTTCAAAAGCTTTAAAGTTTTCATCTGCTTAACTTTTTAGTGCAAGAAAATGAGGTAGTAGTAAAATCAAAAGCATTCAAAATTCAATTTTCAGCTGGAAAAGTTAACGTATTTAGCGCTTTTCAGTCAAAATCAGTCCAATTATTACTTTAATTATCACCTTTGTACTTCCGTTTTCTTGAACAAGTCCTAGAACCAGCAGTGGCTGTTCTCTTCGGAGTGTCTAAAAACCAGATTGTCGAAATTAGGACTTGTTCTTTTTACGTCGTAACACAATTGGGTCAGAACCTTTGGCAGCTATCACGAAGTGAAATTTTAGTGTGCGGGCTTCATTTTTAAAGTTAAATAAAAATGTATGTCGCCTTTGTTATTCAGGAAATTTATGTAAAATGAGAGAAAGTTTCCATGAATTTTTAAACATTATTTTGTAAAATTGTTCTCAGCTCGTTTGTTGGATTTCTTTTTCATGGATCTGATAAATTCACTTGTTAAATTTACACGAGCTATTCCACTTCCGGTCATAACATGCAACGAATCAAATTTCCTAGATTCTATTTGTATTTTTTGTCGGTCACCATCAATAACTATTAATGAATGCCCATCAGTCGAAGTGAAAGGTGGCTCATGTGTTCGTGTGCATTCATCAGTTCAGCATTGTTCGCTTTACTTGATCGCGAAATTGGATCATTTTCTTTTTTATAAAATTCTCAAGATCTCGTTAACTTATTTTGTTAAGAATTTTTCTTTGTATATGATGAGAAAACTTGTCAAAAATTGCCACAATAATTGTAAATATGTAGTAAATTTTATTTTTTACCAAAAGAAAATATCTGTAGTTATGTTTTTACCAGAAAAATTCCTTTAGCTCTGGACAACTTTTTATGAAGACATTTTCATCTATGAACAGCTGACCTTAGCAGAATCGTTGGATTTCACGATTTCTGAAAAGGGGGGCCCGTTCCTTAATTTTAAATTCACCACTATCAAACTTATGAGTTTTATATTTTACACTTTTTCACTGAATACTGGAAAATGCGTTTTTCCTATTTTCGATTTTCTTTTCAGAAAATGTTAACATATTCAGAAATTCAAGGTCTTCGCTTTTGAGTTTAATGTAACATTCAAACTCATATCTTATGGAAAATGTGCCATGAAGGCCAAGAAAATACAATATGTAGTTCAGTGATTAGCTAAAGAACACTTAACAAGTCAGATGACTGAGGAATTGAGTGCAAAACTAGATCAGTGATAAGTCGAAGCAATTTCATATCATACCAGCAGTAAGTGCTTTGTGCTATCATGGACAACCTTCTCAATTGGATCGCACTTAGCAAAATGGAACCAGCGTGGTCACAGTGTTTTCAAGATCATGCAACTGCCTATTTTGTTTTAAAAATAATCATTGTATGTCCAGTACTAAAATTTACACAGCTGTTATTTTCCTTGAAAATCAACAATTTTGCGCTGGTTCCTTTTTGCAATCCCATCATTCATACTGCCCTTAAAAATGAAAATGATTTTGATAAAACTTTACGGCAGCGGAAGAGACCATAGTCTACAAAAACCAGGGTCTCCACTATAGGGTAAAACTGGGGAAACCCAGAAGATGGAATTCTGAGGGAAAACCCAGTAAATTTGATGTTGACTCAGGGGTTTTCGCTTTTTCAAATGGAAAATTTATCCACTTCAACATAAGCAAGTATAATCAAGACCAATCCACACAGGTCAGTCAATCCTGAGGACGAGTTTTGGTACTCTACTGCGCAGTGACATAGTATTGAGTGCCAGCAATATATTTCTTATGGGAGCACCCATTGTGACGTAGCATTGAGTGCTGCGAGTTAGGGCTGGGCGGGGGAGTGGATTTCACAAAAGCTGCGCAATGATTGACCTGTGTGGATTGGTCTTGAGTATAATCTATTTTTAGAATGACAGAGGTAGCCTTTTTGAGTTATCAGCTATCAGCACAATGAGTGATGGTGTAACACTTTCCTGTCGAATGATTCATGTAGAGTTCATGCAATAAATCAGGAAAAACACAGGGAATTAGAATGCTGGAAAAAAAGTAGAAACCCTGTAAAATTCATAATCAAATTATTGACATCAGATTACATTGTAATATTTTCGAAGAATTTAAGGGAAAATAAATTAAAAACTAAAATTATAACTTTTAAAAAATGGTATTTTCCTGGTTAGTCACAAGAAAAGAAATCGATAATAATTCATTTCCCATCTGCAGAGCACGAAATCGAGGCACTGGCTGTATTGAGGACACATCTAGGGTGCGATGTTTCAGAATCTACGGTAGTGCTTCATTAATTAAAAAAAGTAAATGCGTGTACTTCATCGACATTTTAGAATATTTTTCAAAATTCCACAATGTTCTTCCACTTCTTAAAAAAAATTCCCGGTAATTTTTTCATCAATTTTCTCCATGACACAAATTAGCGATTGAAATTCTGAAGCAGCATCACAACCAAGAAGTGCCCTTCTCGCACCCAAAACCTCAATTCAAAATACAATTCTACGACCTTCAAAGCCACGAAAATAAACTGAATCTCCCATGCCTAACTTTATTTTAGAAACCCTGTGAAATGAATGTGAGTTATCCGTCAAATCCAATTTTTTGACCCAACTCCACTAAAATCGTTTTTCCGATCATTTTTCACCTAAAGACAAAGATCCCCTCCTACCATGGACCGTCAAATCGTCATTAATGATCCAATGTGCTTAAATAGTCATTACGGACCAATCAAATATAAGTGCAAACAGTGCAAAATACGATTTTTCCATACGCGGACGGACTGCGGTAGAAAAGAGCGAAAATTCGTATTTTCGCGCGGCGTAACAACTTCTGAATGCGCGCTCTCTAGCGACGAAGCCGTGAAACAGCGCGTGCATGTCTGAGGTTATGTTCATGTTTTTGTTTTGCTGCACAGTCGGCTTTTAATTCACGAAAATCCTATTATTTACCATGATTTTAGGAATGCTTGTATTTTGCCCGAAGATTTTAAGTAAATAGTTCTACTTATCTGCTGTTGTTCTCTCAAGTTTGCTCGTGCATTAAGGACCCTGGATAACTCACAATGAGTCAGTTCGCTAACTCTAAACTTTCTCCTCATCACAACGTTGTCAAGGATGAAAAAGGTAAAATTTTATATCTCCCCTCTACTTCAAACTTTTAAACGTATGAGGGAAACAGTCTATCGAGATGTGCTGAAGAATGCTGCGTATTGAGTTCATTGAACCATATGTCTGTCCATCATGATCGAACGTAGTCAGTCTTACCTTTTGTCATTCAGCAAAGCCATCTCCTCTCTCATCCAAGCAGAAACTTGCTGTCCTTTGTAGTCTACAATCATACTTTAATAAGCCAATCATGAGGAGCCTCCAATTCTTACGATAGTGTAAGGTATACTCTCCGATTATAAGTAGAAATTCAGGGATAATGTTTGTCACCATGCTCTAGAGCTTGGAGACAGAGTGTCATGTATCATGTGAAAAAAAGGGAAATAATACGCAAAATTATGGATGTATGCAAGTAGTTTGCTTGCATCATCATCAAAATCAAGGATTTTCCGCTACTTTCAGGTGGAGAGGAAAAAACAGAAGTCTCATTCCCTTCCAAAGTGGTGGAAAAAAACACCAGAACAATTTTACAGTGATACTGAGATGGGCGCCTTATTTCGCAGGATTTCACGAATCTCCTGGAAATATTGCGTACTTCTCGCAATATTGAGAAGACATGTGCGCAATTTCTCACATTTAATAAAGCAAAAATCAAGTAAGAAACAATTCGAACTCAGGTGAATGATGCGCAATTTTTTATAACTGCTGGAAAAATCGCATCTCGTGATTAAGAAGCAATCCGTGATTTAGAAGTGATGACTGCATAATTTCTCAATTTGTTTACGATATCACTGTGAAAATAGCGCTTTCTCCATTGCACTGATGTAAATTGTGCTTAACTTCTTAGAATTTGATGAATCCCATGGAAATATCGCGTATGTCATGCGATATTGAGGGCATTAGCGTGTCGTTTCTCACTTTCACACGTAGGAAAGGAAGTGAGCAACTATTCAAACTCCGGTGTGGGTATGTGGTATCACGCGAAATTGAAGGATAATCATAACTTTCCGCTCATTTCTACTTAGTCTGTGCCTTCCATGAATATTATACTCGCACATCATTAAAGTCAATATCATTTAATTCAATCAACATCTTAAAAACTTAACTAGTACTACCAGTATTGTCATCATTGAAAAATCGTCCTATACACTTTCTGTTAGGGAAATACATTTTCTCTGTAACATGTAACAGTCCATATGCATTACATTTTAAAAATTTTAATTGATGTTTAATTCATCTGTTTCATAAAGCCGTGAGATCCAACACTAAAAGGATAAATTTTTGCTCCTTAGGTTCTTTCATTCCACCAACGCAAAGGCCAGATGGAACATGGCGAAAAGCAATTCGTGTGAAAGAAGGTTATGTTCCTCAGGATGAAGTTCCTCTGTATGAAAGTAAAGGCAAGCAATGGGCCAGTCGAAACACACAGTTACCCTTTGGTCTCTCTCCAGTATCATCGCAACAAGATTCATCAAAGCCTTTTATTCCTGGTCTTGTAATTACTGAGGACACACCAAAAAGTAAGTTCACGTTGGATCCCCTGAAGTTTTGGTCTGTTGGTTCAGAGTATACCAATCTTGAAGTGAAATTAAGTAAGACCAGAAACTGGTTTCTAGCAAATGTTTATCGTGAATTTTTATTCCCGTCTACAACTAATAATACCAATTCGTTTCCCATAATAAATTGAAAATAAAAAGTGACTGAAAATTAAATGTGGAAACCTAAGATAAATATTTTTCTAGGTTCACCGTTTTTTAATGAGATACTGGCTTTTAAAATGATTCATTTGTTCAAATGGCATTCCTCTCCCAATCACGAATGAACAATAGGACTACATTTTGCAATTAAGAACTACAACTTCTAATCCATAGCCGTAAAAACACTCATTTACATAGGGAATCAAAGGTACTTACGTCGTCTCTAAACTGAGTCAAATATTGTAGGTAGTTAAGCTCCTAATTGAAATATGCAGTTCAATAGATCTGCTGCTGGTATCACTGAATTTTGTTTTGATGGTGAATTTTATGGATGAAAAGTGAGATCAATGAAATTGGTTGATTTTATCAATGTGAGTTATAACCGAGTCATAATGAGAGTCTCTCTGTCTAATATTAAAAATTTCCTCCACAATGGTGTATTCATTGATACTGATGAGGTACCAGTGGATACCCTGGATGAATCAAATTTGAACAAAAAATTCACTTAGAAATTGCTGCTTCTTATATCTAAGAGAAAAAAAGAAAAGAATTCCTTTCCAGAATTTGTATGGTGCTCTTTGTATAAAATATATCAGAGATTGGTAGATCCATCCACAAGTTGAGTGTTAGTAAAAAACATAGGGGTAAAAAATCCTCGAAAGTCGACCGAATTTACACTCACAAAGCTTCTTTAAGTTGATTTTCAAACATCTCATCTAAAATCTACGTATAGGAAGGGGCAGGCAAGTTCAAAATGTTAAATATTACTTATTTTTTTTTAAAAAAAAAGTAGTGATATCTTGTGGAGGCAACGCTTCATTACTTTTGCACAGTTTCCGGACGTCTGGAAAATCCATAAAGTCACGAAATTCATAGGAAAAGTCAGGGAATTTTGTGAGCAACGTTAACAGAAGTCAGCGTAGTTCAAAACAAAAAAATCTAAAAGAAAAATTGTATACCAAGGTCAGGGAATCAAAAAATTTTTGAAGTCAGGGGAAAGTCAGGAAATTGAAAAAGGAAGAAATCATGGAAACTTTGCTTTCAGTATGTTTTATTCTTTGTGAATTTCGAAGAAAAAACTGCATTACAAACACACAAAAAAATGTCTCAGAATTTTGATCAAATTCATCTTTGTGGAAATACCGTCTTATTGGCCTAAGGTGGCGTCACCATATTTTGGGCGACGAATCATAAGTTCAACCTGTTTGCCGGTGTTTTTAATGGGACAGAAAACTCTGAAACAGAACAACTTAAACATTTTCTAGATTATTATATTTTCTTACTTGACGATAATTTCATACAAAACTTTAATTACATTTTCAGAAAGCAAATCGAAAAAGAAGAGCTTGGGAAGCAAGGAACAAAGTGCAGGCCAAGGGGAAAAGAAAAACGCACAAGCAAAAGATAAGACTGCTAGTGAGAAAACTAACTCTCCATCTCCGAACACTAAGTCAAATAAGGCTAAAGATAAATCCGGAAACAACAAGAAGGAAGAAGTCCCAGCGGAGACATCCGCGGAGCCAGTTGATCTCAAAAAGAAATTGAGAAACGTCAAGAAAAAGTTAAAAGAAATCGAAGCCATAGAGGAGAAAATGAAGACTGGTGGCTCAAAGGCTGTTGATGCTGATCAAAGGAAGAAAGTGGCAACAAAAGCGCAAGTACTTCAAGATATTTTAGAACTTCAACAGTTGACCCTAAATAGTTAAAATTTCTGCCTGTGATATATCATTGTTATGAAAACATGGTGAAGAGTATGAGCATTCATCAGCGCCATTAATATCAAAATGGAAAATGTAGTTTGATGCTGTCTGATTGCTTACTGTATATTCTATAAATGAAGAGATATTACATACACATTTTTGCGGATGCAGAAATATCTCCCTTCTTCAGAGCATATCAATGGCAAAACAACAAAACGACAAATGACTATTTTCTGTCTTATTTAACTCTTTTCAATAATGACAGATCTCAGGTAGTACACACATTTTTGTGGGATCCCTCTCAAGAACATTCTTTAGAAACATTGTACATAAACACTCTTCAAGTAGAAAAATAGATCAGGAGTGAAAATTTTAAAACTTTTCAGTGGCGACTTATGATTTTGTTGTTTCACCATTGATATTATGTGTACAGTACAAGTCTTTTGGAATGAGAAATGCAAAAATTATAAAATCATTGCACAGACAAGAAATAAGGAGAAAGTGTAAATGACGCTGGGACTAAATTTAAAGATATACTATGACAGTGAAGGTCTAAGTAATTTTTTATAGTATGTACGATGACCAATCAAACAGTGTTATGGCCAAAATTTATTTTTCATTCATGTAAAAATAAGATGTGAAGTATGACTTAAGTAAGTACTCTAAAAATATCTTTTCGCCAATATTTTTGTTCCTCTGACAAGGAGAGGCCTCTATTCCCCATGAGATTTCGGCCAATTTTTTCTCTATTACAGTCTAAGGGCAACTAATAAGCATTGCTCAAGCTGTTTTCGCCAATGGCCCCCTCATACACCCATTAAAATCAATTGAAAGGAAAGATGCACTTGTCTAGTGACCAGACCCTTAATACTGCGTTTGACTCAAATCAGCCTTGTCAGTGGCAGTGACGCAGTGGTCAGGGACGCTTTCGCTCAACCAGTATGAAGTTGTGTGGCGGAGGGTTTGAATTTCATTCTAAGAACATAAGTTGTATCAGTTTCCTCTGCACCAATGTACGTATATTTTTCTTTTCTATGTCAATGCTGGGACTAGGAAACCTCGTATCTTGATTTGCAACGTTGTGAATTTCTTGATGTCTCTCTTTTTTCGCTCTAAACCTAAAGTATTGATTGAAGAAAAGCAATTATCATTTTATAAAAATAAAACAGAAGCCATTTCGAAACACCAAAATGGAGGAACATGTAACTCTACTTTCACCATTGATACCTTTCTCCCTCACAACGTTGTGTCTATCACTTACATTGTCATAAGCAACAGTATCCTTTAAGAGTTTAGACACATTCAATGATGAAAGTAGAAAAATACTTAATTCAAATGTGGTGTTTCAGAATATTTGCTTTTATCTAATTTTTACAAAATCATAATTGCTCTTATTCAGTTGATCGTCAATACAAAAGAAGAAACATAAAAGTAAGCAAGACATTTCCGATGTCACAAATCAAAATACAAAGCTCCCTAGTCTCAACATCAATGTAAAAAAGAAGGGTATATCCATATAAAACAGATAGGGAATTAAAACCTCTAAAAAGTTAAATTGTTTTCAGCATGCTTTACAATTTTGACCACTTGAGGCAATAGACTGATTTAGTGGCTACATCATTCGATATAATATCGAGCTCTAGGTTCAAACCAAAACAAACTAACATAACTTCATTTATGCATTTTTCATGAGTTAATTGTGTTAATTCATTAGAATTTAGTCATTAACCTGTCATAAACGAATTAAAGACTCATTAAACACAGGAAATTTTGATTGTAAGAAACACTTGGACGCATTATACCACCATGGCGCAAAGGGCGTAAGTCAGAAACAAGGATCTGAGTTTGTTTATATTTGAACCAAGGGTTCTATATTATAATGAATGATGAGCCACTTAATCAGTCCATCCTGGGTACATAGAAGCGTCTCTGACCACTATATCATAGCCTTTGATAAGGCTGGTACATGTCAAACACAGTGGTTAGGGTCTGATCACTAGATTCACTCATTTTCTCCAAATTTCAAAACAAATTTGCGGGTGTCTNGGGGGGGGGGGGGGCACACGGCAAAAACGGCATGTGCCAGGCTAATTACTTGTGCTGTGCTTGGACGGACTCAGGATAAAGAATTAAGAGCAGAAAACTTGTCGGACCCTTTAGGCCCTTCCTGTGTGAGTGTAACGTTAGGGGGAAAAGCAATTGAGGTCTGAAGAAAGAATTAGAACAGACAATGATACATCAGAAGTTAAGTGGGTGGCAGCATGCTTTGACCAACTCTCACCCGAGGCTCCAGACTTGTTGAATGATATTGGTGACTTGTCCCTGGAGGATGGTATTCCCTCAACAATCTCTAATCAGCTGGACAGATTTTGAGAAAATTATGTGTAATCGTGACTTTCCCCAGGAAAAAAGACCCTAGTCTACAGAGGCAAATTATTCTGAATAGCAATTTTTATTACCTTGAGTAAAAAAATCAGAATTGGAGTTTTTTTCAGAGAACACCCTCTATCCCCTGGAAGAAAAAGCTACGAGCAGTTTGGCTCATTTCATTTTTTGTATTAGTTAGGAACTTCTATTTCTGACTCATTCATAAAAGCACATACCTGCACATGGAAACTAATGGCTTCATATTGTTGTTTACCAGGCAAAGGAACGTACCTCATTAGTGCTGTTTCAGCAGGTATTTTTGCAAACATTTAAGTTTTTCATAAGAACATGGTCGCATGAATTTGTCCGAAAATTGTAGCGTCTTTTCTCACAAGTGTAAATATTAATTGCTAGAAATTTCAGGCTAAGTACGACGGTCCTTTAAAAAAATGAAATATTAGTATGAAGTACTGGAACAACGCATTCAAGGTACGTTTCTTGTGCGGGAGACAAAGATATGCTGTGCCTAATATGAGCCATGAATAGTAGTCCTTACTTGGAAACCTCTTGTTGTTGTCAGACAGTTTTAAGGCCTGAATATGGCAGATGGAACTTTTCAAAAGCTGTTTTTTACTCTAAACTCCAGAGCATCATTACTCTGGTTTGGTTTAACAGTTTTCAGGCACTTTTTGTGTCAGAATGTTCGCAGGATCATCAGGTTTCCCATAGTCTCTTGGAAATTTCAGAGTAAACAATCATGTGAGTAAAATTTCTCCATCGCCTGATCCTAGACATCGTTTGACGCAACAACATATGTATGTAAAAACTATAGATTGGCTGATGATCATATGCTTTGCCAGTGGTGAGTTTCGTACTCTACCAGGAGCAAGAGTCAAGTTAGGATAAAGATAGTCAGTTCCCATGGTTTCTAAAGCCCAATTCACACCATCAAACTTTTCATTCATTTCTTGGATGCAACTTGTCTAAAATTTTGATTGTGTGATACTGAAAAAACCGGAAGTAAAGTATACCATGTACTCTAGAATCAAATGAATGATGGGGAAATTAAGGCGAAACCTTGTTTTTTAACCTGAAATTTTGGAACGTCTATGGGGGGGGGGGGGCC